AAAAGAACAAAACAGAATATCAATAAGGAATAATATTGTCCAAAAAGTAAAACGAGTGCGTGAAGTGTGACTGAGGGGAAAATATCTGCTAGAAGCATTGTGTACACACATGCTAAAGTGCTCACATTTGTGAAGGTGTTCACCTTTAGCAAGTGTGCCTACAATGGCAGAAAGGAAAAAATAGTGCAGGACTCGAAATAGGATCATAAGGTGACAAAAACACTAACAATCTCCCCATTTGTCACTTATGATCAAAGCACAATTCTTAGACAACAAACAATAAAAAAAAAAAAAAAATTCAAAGAAGAGATTGAAAAAACAATTTAAGAACAAGACAACTCCCCCTCAATGGTAAACCTCCTCCTAATCAAAACATAAGTCAAGAACGAAGTTACCAAAGGATTTCCAAATGACGCAGATCAACATGTCATTAAAGAGAATCTGCACAACAAGGGAGAGATTAGCAATAAAACATAACTCATGCATAGAACCAATATGAGCAATAGCAACATTAGCACTAAAAAGAAGCACCAGAAAAAAAGAATTCACAAGAAAACATCCATAAAAGTTTCTAGTGTTCTGCATAAAGAAAAACGTAAAGTGTGATCACATAGAAACAACAGTGATCACAAAAAACAAACAGTCAACAGAAAAACAAAAGAACACAGTAAAAAAAATAAAGTCTTGGCGTCTAAAAAAAATCTTGGCTTTGTAGCAATAACAAACAGCATGAAGACATCAACTCCCCCTCTTTGATCATAAGTGATCAACTTTTATGTCAAGAAGATCTTCTGGTCAGGGGCATCCTACCAACAGATTTGACACGAGTTTTGACAGAGTATGAGCTAGAGGAGGATCAACTGCAGAGGTGTTCACATCAGGAGCATCTTCTATAGTCTAAGAGTCAGCAAGAGGGGCCACATCTTCATATTCTTTCTCCCCGTTGGAGGGATCAATTTCAGGAATAGGCATAGAAGCATAGATTCATTTTGATCTTTCCTCAGCTACAATTCCAGAATCAAGTTCATCCACAACGTCTTCTTTATTAATATCTTGAATGTCTTCGGGAGTGACTGGATTTTGATCCTCAGGGACAATATTTGCATCGGCAGGGTTGGCATTCAGATCAATTTGAGGCTCAGTAGGAACAACAATCTTCTCAGTAGGAATAGAGGCATCAAGGGCATCTTTGGAACCATTTGAAGACCTTTTACTTGGAAGCTCAGCCCTGGTTTCTTTAAGAGTAGTTTCAAGGGAGTCAACACGAGCCTGCAAGGTGGTGTGATAAGAATCCACTTTCTGATCAAGAGCTTGCAACAATTCAAACAACTTGGACTACCAAGCACTAGATTTTATAGGAGGTACCTGAGAGGACAAAGGTACATCCACAACAAGGACAACAGGCTTGAGAGTTTTAGAGGAAATACTTATAATCTAAAGAAAATGGTCATTGGACTATTTTGGAGCCCCATACGAGTCAACAAACCTTGTAACCAGAGAAGGGAAAGGCGGAATGAAGGATTTCCCTTCGGACTCACCAGCAGTCTTGATCAATTTGTAAATAACAGAAGCAATATCTATTTTCTTTCCTTGCACAATGCCATACACCATTTGTGTTTTATCAAGCCTGATAGAAAAATTATGCCTAGAGGGAGACTAGTTGGTGATGGTGATTTTGAAAAGAGTCTTGTACAGGGATGTGAGCACATTGACAAGAAGAAAACCATTGTCAGGCCAAACTGTCACAACCCCACCACTAAGATCACTAGCCATAAACCTACGCTCCTTTACGGGGACAATTAGGTCATCTTCGTTCTTCACAACAGGGAACTTTAACAATTTTCTAATCATTTCAAGGGTAAAATCCATCCAAATACCCTTTACCCATACTTGGTTTTTGTGAAACGAGGTTTGTTCAATGTATTTCCTAAAATGTGCATAAAATTCTTGCACAAAACCCTGACAAGGTGGCACAGGTTTCACTACAGAAGTTTTCCATTTTCATTCACCCACAATTTTGGTAATTTTAGGGAACTCAGAGAGTTCGACATCTGACTCATAGACAATTGGCCTAAAAATAATAAAGTCTTTAAACCTAGACTCAGTAGAAGAGAAGACAAAAATTTTTCGTTTACCTAAAACCTCAGATTGAGGTGGCGCTTTCACATTCTTTTTTACCTTGGCAATCTCAGCTTGTTTCTTCTTCTTCGTTTGGGATTCAACGGAGGACCCTTTTGAGCATTTTAGTCTCTTAATGAGAGGTTGATCATCAGATGGTGTGGATCTTGAAGATGAAGATTTGGACACTGATTTTGAAGCAGAGGGGGCGCCTTCACTTGATGCAGAAGAGTGCACACTTCCTTGGGTATGTGAGGACTGCCCTGTTCTTGTTTTTTCTTGGCTTTAGTAGCCTTCCTAATGTCGTCAACGAATCCTTGTTGATGCTCCATTGAATCTTGCAAAAGGTTGTTAGTAGAGAATACTGAGAGAAAAGAAAAAATAAAAAATTGTGGACTTTGGATATGACGGCTGAAAGAACAAAGTGAGACTTTAAAAATAGAAAAGTTCATTTTTTATTTACTGAAGACAATATGAGCACATCAAATAGTCATGTGCGCACAAAAAGCAAAGATTAAAGAAAGTCTCACATGTGATAACATAAGTGGACAAAGTGCACACATCGAACCATACACAAAGCTCAACAATAAAAGAGATACTTAGGAGAGAAATCATGGTCAGAAAGCTGCAGGCATGTGCACACAAGAACTCTCAAGGTGGTGACATCGGACCAAGGGAAAAGACAAGAGACAAAAAACAAAAACAAAAAAAATGTAAAGGAAATTACCATGAGATCAATTTCATAAACAAAAATTTACAGAAGCAAGTATTGTCAATCAGTGTGACATAAGAGAAAAGGTCACTAATCTTGGGGATGTTGAAGGAATGATCTCAATCAAGTGACTTTCACACATCGAGCAGTTATTTCTTTTGTCAATCGATGAGCAAGAATGCATAGATTCTTTGTCATAAGTGTGTGCAGTGTCCTCAAAGGGGAGCTTGACTCATTGGTCAATTAAACATCTTTTGTCTCCCCCTTCCCTTATGCTCTTTTTACAAATCAATTCAATTGAGTTCTTTTTTATTTCTTTTTCAAAAATGCAGGTATTAAATAGAATAAAATCTCTCAAACAACAACCAAGTGTAGCTTTAACACTTGCATGGAGGTAGCCCTCTAAATGGTAGATCTTCCAAGAACATTGGGATCACTACATCCTAGAGGATTACTCACTTATGATTTTCACACTACAAGCAAGGTAGCTCTTTCACTTGGTGACAAAGTCAAGCAATACAAACTCATGGAGAGATTTTAAGACATAAAGGCTTTTAGATAAGAAAGCACAGGGTGGACACATTTCAGCAACATGCTACCACAAGACGAAAAAAAATCTCAATCACCAACAAGAATTAAAAAAAAAAAAAAAAATACTTGCAACAATAAAAAGTTGGAAATTTGTCTCATGACATTTATTAGAAAAGATGGAGACACTACTCAATTTGAATAAGTCCAATGGACTTCCTCAATATTACAAAAGTTTGCAAGTCTAAAGCCTTAGTAAACAAGTCAGTAAGTTGAGAGTTTATGTTGACATGTGCAAGAGTAATCACCTTCTCATTAACTAAGTCTCTTTTAAAATGATGTCTAATGGTAATGTGTTTGGTTCTGGAGCGTTGAACAGGATTTTTAGAAATGTTTATTGCACTAGTGTTATCACAAAAGACAGTTATGCATTCTTGATCAAATCCATAATCACGTAGCATTTGTTTTAACCAAAGAACCTGTGTGCAGAAACTCCTTATAGCGATATATTCAGCTTTAGCTATGGGGGTGAGATTGAATTTTGTTTCTTGCTATACCAGGTGATCAAGCTATTCCCGAGAAAGAATCATCCTCCAGATGTGCTTTTTCTATCATCTAAGCAATCTGCCCAATCAGCATTACTAAAATCCACAAGAGTAGGATTAGAATCATAAGAAAAGCAAAGCCCAAATTCTGATGTTCCAGCAACATATTTTATAATCCTCTTAATAGCTTTAAAATGAAGCTCAGTGGGATTAGATTGAAACCTTGCACACACACCTACACTAAAGCACAAATCAGGCCTACTTGCTGTCAAATATAAAAAACTTCCTATCATGCTTCTAAACAACTTATTATCAGTCTTTTTACCTTTTTCATCCTTGGATAGTTTAAGAGTAGAGCTCATTAGGGTGTTAGCATGCTTGGCAGATTCGAGATTGAATCTTTTAAGCATGTTTTGGGCATACTTAGACTAGGGGACAAACATGCCACAATCAATTTGTTTGATTTGAAGACCAAGGAACATGCTTAGTTCTCCTACCTTACATATCTCAAATTCATCTTTCATTAAAGCAATAAATTTTTTCAATTGAGTATGTGAAGTGGAACCAAAAACAATATCGTCTGCATAAATTTGAACACACAAAAATTCATCTCTTTCATGCTTTATGAACAAGTTTTTGTCAGCATTACCTCTGGTGAAATTATGATAAAGAAGGAAGGAGGTCAGCCTATCATACCATGCTCTCGGTGCTTACTTCAAACCGTAGATTGCTTTCTTAAGTTTGAACACATGATCAGGCTTATAAGGATTCTGAAATCTTACTGGTTGCCCAACATAGACTTCTTCCATCAGTATTCCGTTAAAAAATGCACTATTCGCGTCCATTTTGGTAAAGTTAAGCTTTATGCAGCAGGCAACTCCCAGCATTAGTCTTATGGTTTCAAGCCTAGCCACATGTATAAAAGTTTCATCGAAATCAACTCCTTTAACTTGGGTATACCCTTGTGCAACATGTCTTGCTTTGTTTCGCACAATATTCCCAAACTCATTTGATTTATTCTTGAAAATCCACTTCGTTCCAATAACATTAATCCCTTCAGGTCTGGGAACCAGTTTCAATAGGTTATTTCTCTTAAACTATTCCAACTCCTCATGCATGGCAGCAATCCAGCAATTGTGTTCAAGAGCCTCCTTTGCATTCTTAGGTTCTGAAAGGGAAACATAGCATAGGTTAATAATTTCACTCAATGTTTTACGTCTAGTGACCATTACCTCGTCCGGATTTCCAATCACTGTAGATGGTGGATGAGCCTTTTTAATCCAAGAGGGTGGTTCTCTAGTTTTGGGTGTCTTTTGGTGAGTGATTTCATTAGATAAATCAACAATCAGTTCGAGTCCTTGTCTCTTTGGGAGAGATCCTTTTCGAGTTGCAGATGTGTTCACTTCAGATTTTGATGTGGTCACATCTTTAGGAGAACTTGGAGTGGGCACATTGTAATGGTCAATGGTCATATTAGGAGGTGACGTTAAGTCATCAATATCATCTTTATGAGGAAACTATGAGAAATCTTCTAAATCAGAGAAAACATCATTAAATTATTTAATTATGTGTTGAGTTCTTATATTGAAGATCCTATATGCCCTACTATTTGAAGAGTATCCGAGAAAAACACCTTTATCACTTTTGGAATCAAATTTTCCTAGGAGATCTCTATCATTCAACACATAGCACTTGCATGCAAAAACATGAAAGTAGGACAGATCAGGCTTCTTACCTTTTCGTAACTCATATGGAGTTTGTGAGGTACCTTTCCTTAGAAAAACTCTATTTGCAATGTGACATGCAGTGTTGATTGCCTTAGCCCACAATCTTGTTAGTATTTTTTTGTCATTTAACATAGCTCTTGCCATTTCTTGAAGAACTCTATTCTTTCTCTCCACAACTTCATTCTGTTGAGATATTTTTGGAGTAGAAAACTCATGCCATATACCCTGCGAATCACAAAAACTAGAAAAATCAGTGTTCTCAAACTCCTTTCCATGATCACTTCTTATCCTCACAACTTTCTTCACCCTACAATTTTGTTCAACTTGAAGTCTTTTGATCAGATTTTGAAAGACTTCAAATGTATCAGATTTTTCCCTTAAAAAATCAACCCAAGAGAATCTAGAAAAGTCATCAACACACACAAAGACATATCTCTTACCTCCTAAACTTTCAGTTTGCATAGGCCCCATCAAATCCATATGAAGAAATTCTAAAACACATGAGGTATTCAACTGAGACAAAGATTTGTGAGGAAACTTAGTTTGCTTACCTTGTTGGCACGGGCCACAAACTTTACCTTTTGGGAACACTAGTTCAGGTAAACCTTTCGCAACATCCTTTTTGGAGAGTTTCATAAGATCTCTGAAATTCATGTGTCCAAGTTTTTTGTGCCACACATCAATATCACCTGATTTGGAAATTAAACATGAAACTTTGTTAGTCAAAAGATAGCAATTATCATTTGATTTCTTTCCTTCAAGAACAGAAGTACCATCATCATTCAAAACTTGACACACATTTTTTTAAAATTTCACAACGCAACCTTTATCACAGATTTGACTTATGCTTATGAGATTAACTTTAAGACCTTCAACATAAAACACATAATTCAGAATAGGAAAACCAGGAATAACAATAGATCCTTTGCCAAGGATTTTACCTCTTTTGCCATCACCATAGGTCACATGACCAACCTCAACAAATTCAAGATCAATCAACGAACCTTTGTTACTTGTCATGTGCCTTGAACAACCGCTGTCAAAGTACTATTGGTCATTTTGAAATGTAAGTAATGATGTATGAGCAACCAAACAGTTGGTACTAGGCTTAGGTCTCCATATTTTTCTATTCTTGAAAAAATTGTTTTGATACAGGGTTTTCTGAGAGGGAAAAACATGTTTTCCAATGCATATTTTCAAATATGCAATGAGCTTGAAACAGTTTGGTCTAATATGACATTTTTTATTTTTTTTTGACAAAAATGACAAACAGGAGTAAACCTTTTTACCTTGAGAAGAGAATCAGAAGGTGCATCAAGAACCTTTTAGTTTGAAACTCTATTAACAGTGGTGGTCACTAATAATCCTAGGATTATGCTGTTTTATCTATGCTTTTTGGTTGGATTTTGGATACTTCTTCTTAAGTTTGTGCCTGAATTGCAACTTAATTTCATATATTTTATGTTTTAGGACAAAACGTGCAGTTAGAGCAAATACTGAGCGGAATTGAGTTTCTGGACCTAGAAACAAGCGAATTTTAGGATTCAGGAAAGTTCTGATGCGGATTTGAAGCATTATAAAGCTTGTTCCTATTGGAGATCAAAAAGATTGAAGATTGAAGCAAAGAAGCAGGCGGAGGGTAGTTTCATAAATTCAGAAAAGTTCAATGCGGCGAAGTATATTCCTCGTCGTGGCGAGAAACTCTCACGTTAGATAGTGAAATAGAAGCCAACTTGATGTCGCGGCAAAGTCTGTAATTTACAGTTTATTAAAACTATGCATTCTAATTGTATGAGATGAGTCTTAGGTTTTGGGGATCGACTATATAAGTTGGACTTAGTTATTTTAGAAGGGAGTTCGACTTTGTTTTGGAGAAAGAAGAGAGAAATTGAAGATTGGAAGTCTTTGGGTTCATCAATTAGGGAAGATCTTACTCTCTTTTCGTTATTCCATCATGTTGAATTCTTTGTTTACAGCTTTTATTTTGAATTGCTTTATTTTTAGTATGAACTAACTCACTTTTGGGTTAGGGTTTTGATGTAATTGGGATTTTAATGTCTAATCAATAAATTGATGTTGCTATTACATTCTATTGCATGGATTGTGTGTTTACTCTTGTTCTTATTGAAATTACTTGTTGAGCATGATGACACTGAGAAGTGAATCATGTATTAGCTTCTTAGGGTAAATGCCATTGATTGATTGAACGCTAGAGATAGGTTTGAGAATCCATGAAATTAATTTAGGATTCCATTTAGCTTAACGGACTTGGAACTACTAACCTTCAAATTGTTGGGTGTGGAAGCTTAATAGGGATAAGTAGGAAAACATAGCCTGAGAAGGTATGTTTTACATGTTAGGGTGTCCGATTAATAATCCTTGCATGTGAATGTAGAAGTAACAGAAATCGTAGATTAATTCATAAAATCCTAGTGAAGTCAAAACCCTAACCGCTTTGTTTTAATTGATATTTCTCTTGAATTGATTTTCACTGCCATTAATTAGCTTTTAAATTACGTACTAGATTTTGTTTTAACTTTACTTGATTTCTCTCCCGCAATCCAAACATCTTTCGTTTACTCCAACTTGATACAAAACTAGGAAAATCAGTACTTAACACACAATCCTTGTGGGAACAATACTCTACTTATCACTTTATTACTTTTTGCGACTAGTGCACTTGCTACAAATTGCATGTTGTAAAATCAACGTATCAGTCACAACTGGTTTCGAGGTGCTCACTTTAATGAAAGTGGTCACACCAGGTTTGGAAGAACTTGCTTTAGGAGAAAAACCCAATCCAGTTTTGTCACCAAAAGACTTCCCTTGGCCAAGAACTTCATCAAGTTTAAAAGAACCTACATTCAATCTTTCAACAATGGCCTTGGCCTCAATTAGTTCATTTAAAGCTTGATTTAATAGGAGTTCCTTGTTGGATAAATCAACAGACAAGACATTCAACTTATCATTCAATAATTTTCTATCTCCAGTTATGGTGTAGTTTTCAAATTCAAGAGATTTGATCTCCTTGATGGCTTTTGCCCATGACTCATACATCTTGTCATAAGCCTCTTTTTGTTCTTTATAAACATCACTTGAGTCATCTAAGAACACACTACTATTATCCTCTTGGTTAGCCGTAAAGGCCAAGAAATTCTCATCCTCATTCGTGTCATCACATCCACTCTTACTGTCCTCACTTTCACTTAGAGTGGCAGCCATGACTTTTTCTTTTTTCTTTAGAGTGTTCGCACATTTTGATTGAATGTGTCCATACCCTTCACATTCATAGCACCTGATGCCTTTGTTTTTTTTGTCATTATCCCTCGAAAATCGTTTCGAGAAGGCACCTTGACCAAGCTGATTAGTGGACTTCTTTAGAAAAGGTTGTTTACCATTTTTGCTCAACTTAGGCTTTCTCATATTCTTTTTCAAGAATTTAGCAAATTTTTTTGTGAGCAAAGCGCACTCATCTTCCTCACCATCACTAAAAACAACACTAAGAGTAGGTTCATATGTTACCTCATACTTTAGAGCAAGACCCTTTCCTGGTTTCTTCTCCCATCGTTTCAGATTGAATTCGAAAGTCTGAAGTGATCCAATGAGTTTATCCAGCTGTATCTCATCCAGATTTCGGCATTCTTCGATAAAGGTTGCTTGGGACATGAACTTCATAGGCAGTGAACATAAGACTTTCCTGACAAGTTCAGCATCAGTATAGATCTTACCCAAAGGAAAGCATTCATTTGTGATATCACACAATCGACCAGGAAAATCAGTGATAGACTCATCATCATGCATAAACAGGTTTTCATAATCAGTAATCAATCTCCTAAGTCTGATCTTTTTAATCATGTCAATTCTTTCATTCTTAACTTGAAGTCTGTCCCATGCGTCTTTAGCTGTTTCACAGTTGGCTATATTTTTCATTTGGCCAATACTGACAGTATTAAAGAGTGCATGGAGAGCTTTAGAGTTGGAATTAGACTTTTCCAACTCAGCTTTGGTCCATTGATCTAGGGGTTTCCCCTTGCTACCTCTTTCTTCAGTCACAACTTGTGGTTCTTTCCAACCAGTGACACAAGCATTCCAAGCCCTTTCATCAATAGATTTTAAGAAGGCTGTCATCCTAGGTGTAATGCTTTCTTTCTAGCTAGTATACTCGTAAAATAATCAGTAAAACTCATTAAAAAAAATATATAAAAGAAAATACACATATATATACGAGTAATAAAGTATGGGCCCATATTTAATTTTCTTTATATACAAATATTTACAAAATGTTCTAAAAAATAGCAACTTGATAGTGTAGCCTAACCTTTCCACTGCGTGATGTTCCGAGCGACCCCAACTCACCTATTACCTGCAAAACATTAAAAACAATGGAATGAGCACTAATGACTCAGTAAGTAAACTCGCTATGCTACCCTTCTCTCTCCGTTGCTTAAATCTTGAATTTTCTTTCCTTACATCATACTTCCCAATTATTCTCTATTCTTTCTCTGTTCTTCTCTCTGTTATTTCTCTATTCTTTCTCATTCTTTCTCTGTTTTGCTCACTGTTTTTCTCTTAATTTTTTAATTTTTCACTACTCACGATAATGAGCATGGTATTATGCATATTCATGATGCAAATGCACAAATGCATAGATTATGCATTTTCTTTTTTCTTTTTCTTATTCTTATTCTGTTTCTTTTTCTTTATTTCTTTCTTTCTTTTCTAGTCTTTCTTTCTTTTCTTTCTTTCTATTCTTTCTTTCTTTTCCATTCTTTCTTTCTTTCTATTCTTTCTTTCTTTCTTTCTTTCTTTCTTTCTTTCTTTCTTTCTTTCTATTCTTGCTTTCTTTCTTTCTATTCTTGCCGATCGGACTCGATTGAGGCATGGATTTGGAGCATTGGCCGTGTGAGTGAATTCTCTAATTCTGTATACAGTCCTTATCCACACACACTTCTAACGGACTATACAATTCTTCTTTCTGAATTTTGAGGCAGCTCACTAAAGGCGGCGTGCATGTGGGACTATGTCACTCACGGCTCCCCATCGCAACAACCTTCTCTTCTTTTTATCTTTTTTTTTACACTTCTTTAAGAAAAATTCAGATTTGAATATCTTTAATATCTTTGAATATCTTTCATATTCTCACTTCTTTCTATTTTCTCTTTAACATATTTTAGGGCTTTTTCATGCTCTTATGAATATGTATGCATGTTGATGGTTTCATGCTTATAATTCTTTCTAAATTCAACAAATTTAAATGCAATTATGCATTATGAAATGCAAACATGTCATTCTCTACCATCTACAAACTCATCCCAAAGTAACACAGAATCATTCTCATATATGCACTTCTCTTTAGCATTTCATCAAACAATTCATATGCACAAATCAACACTAATTTGGCTACACTTCTATCTCTATTTTTGGCCACCAAAAATTTGGAATCAACTCCTCCATAATTAACACCAAATCTGCCCAAAATACACAATTCAAAATTTTCACTTCAATTCTTCGAAATCTCATCCAAACATTCATCAAATAACAGCTACACTAACACAACTTCTCATGGATAGGTTCTAATCATTATTCAACACCAAATCCATCAACAATTTTACATATAATACATATATATGCATAAAGAAAGTTCTCTACACAACATAACTTAAATCATACTTAGGGTAGTATTTACTTACCTTGTTCTTGAGTAATTCCACTAGAATTTCTCTTTCTTTGGTTGACTTTTTCTTTCTCTAAAACCCTTTGGGTGCTTAGGATCAAATCTCTACCAAAATCCAACCAAAATCCCTTGGAAATTTGATGAAGAGATGTGAGAAATTGAGAGTGAAGTGGCATGAGAGAGAGTAGAGAATGATAAGGTCTTTTTGCTTGAACTCTTAATATCTCATATTAATATGCATACTTTCCCATTTTGCCCTTGTACTTTCTTTAAAATTTCATCTATGTCCCTTAGTCAATTACCATAATGCCCTCATTTTTAATACATTCTCCATGAAATTCTACCTCTTTTTGTTCCCCACTTTTTTAACTAATTTTGAGTGAAAAGACCATTTTACCCTTAATGCAAGTTTAAGGCATTTTCTTCACATTTTCTCAAAATAACTTTAGCAAAAAAATCAACTAAAGGTATAAGAGCATAAATTAAATTACGTACCTTCATGTGGGCATTACACTAGGTCTCTAGAAGGAAAAGCTAATTCCCTCCAACAATGGTGGTCTATGAGTAGATCCACCTTCACCAAAGAAACTTATAGTGATAGGACAACAAATGTGGTCACACATATTAGAATGAGCAAATCTGCGCAACAAGACACGAAATGAAATACAGCACAAACAAGCACAAACTCATATTAAAGATATTAAAAACAAGCAAGGATCAACTGAAATAACTCTTCAGAATGTACTTTGACACCAAATGAAAGTTTTAAATGATTACCAAGTGTTTAAAACTTATGTGGAATGGGTTGCTTGTTCAATTTTTAGTGCAAATGAGTTGTGAGAAACTTAATTAAAACATACATCAAAGCAACTAAAGAATACGCTCATTTTTACATGGTTCGGCATCAAGCCTACATCCATGGGACCATGTCCAGATGAAGCAAATTCACTATGAAATACTTATAAGTTCAAATACAAAGCAAGATAACCAAAGTTGTACAATACTCCATGTTTTCTACACAACAACTCTATCCTCTTTGGTTAAACTTCAAGTCCTCACAACAAGCTTCACGAGCATAGCACCATCATGTTGAAGAAGAGCTCCTCTTAAGATTCAACAATGAAGACAGGACAACAACTTACACACAAGCTCTCGTCACAATGGAAAAACATCCAAAGATCTCACATAAGGACAAGTGAGGATGGTAATTCTAAACCTACCAAATCATAGTAAGAGACCTTAACAAAAAATGAGAACCTTAGAGAATATTCAGAGAGGAAAACAAATGTAATCAGATTCCTTAAAGAAAAATGCCAGAAATGAGTGAATATATAGAGATCAATGCGTCAAGGGTTAGGGGACAAAAAAGTTAAATAACGACTTTTGTGTCTTTATTTTTGTACAAGAAATTTGGGACCACAGACAAAAACAATATTACTTTTCTCTCACAGCAAATAAAAGGTGGACAAGTGTAAAAGAACAAAACAGAATATCGACAAGGAACAATATTGTCCAAAAAGTAAAACGAGTGTGTGAAGTGTGATTGAGGGGAAAATATCTACCAAAAGTATTGTGTACACACACATGCTAAAGTGCTCATATTTGTGAAGGTGTTCACCTTTAGCAAGTGTGCCTACAATGGCAGAAAGGAAAAAATAGTGCAAGACTCCAAACAGGATCATAAGGTGACAAAAATATTAACAAAACCTATGTCCAAGAAGAGCCTTGGTTAGAATGTTAGCTATCTAATATTCAGTAGCTACATATTGTACAGTCAATTTTTTCTTAGCAACTAAATCCTTGACATAATGCACATCTATTTCAATGTGCTTGGTTCTTGCATGAAATACAAGATTAGAGAATATGGCTCTTGCACTCATGTTGTTACTCCACAAAACAAAAATGTTCTTCACTTCAATTCCAAGTTCTTGAAACAGGTCTGGATCTAAACTAACTCAATTGCAGCTTAACTTAGTGACCTATACTCAGTCTTTGTTGAAGATAAGGAAACAACATTTTGCTTTCCAAAGCTCCATTGGACTAGATTCCACCCAAGAAAAATGTTATAGCCACTCATTGATTTCCTATCACTAACATCATTGGCCCAATCTACATCAGGATACCTTTCAAGGATAAAATGTTTAGTTTTTCTATGAGCAACAGTTTGAGCTTGAAGAAATTGACTTAGCTTATTGATTGTAAAAGCTAAATCAGGCCTTGACAAAGTAAGATATTGTAATCCTTCAATAATTCTTCTGTATAAAGTAGAGTAATCAAATGGTTCACTGTCTTCTTTACTAAGTTTGATTCCAATTGCCATAGGTGTATTGCAAGGCTTGGAATTTGACATGCCAGCTTTGTGGAGTAATTCTTGAGCATATTTGGTTTGCGTAAGAAGCAAGCCGAAAGCATCTCTTTGAACTTCAAAGCCAAGAAAATAATGCAATACCCCTAAGGTTTTGAGAGCAAATTTGTTGTTCACATTAGCCACAATCTAAGAAATTAATTGAGAACCATTTCTTGTAAGTAAAATATCATCCACATATGCAAGGAAATAGATTACTTGACCTCATTTCTTGAAGTGAAACAAGTTGACATCAGAAAGTGAATAAACAAAACCCCACTTAAGCAAGGCAATTTTGAGTTTACCAAACCAGGCTTTGGGAGCTTGTTGTAAACCATTTAGTGCCTTCTTTAACTTGCAAACATGTAGAGGTTCAGATAAGTTAAAAAAACCCTCAAGTTGTACCATAATACATTCTCAATTAGCTCTCCATTTAGACATGCATTGTTGATGTCAATTTGCTGGATGTCCCAGTTGTTTTGCATTGTAAGAGAGAACATGATTCTTATAGTGGTTGCTTTAGTAACAGGTGAGAAGGTATCAAAGTAGTTTAGGCTTAGTGTTTGTTGGAATCATTTGGCCACCAATTTAGCTTTGTATTTCTGAATTGAGCCATCAGAATTAAGTTTTGTCTTGATCTCCCACTTACAACCAACTATATTCATTCTTGGTGCATAGGAACTAACTCCCAAGTCTTGTTTCTCATGAGCGCCTGATACTCATCTTCTATGGCTACTTTCCATTCTAGAACTGCTAATGCTTTTGAAGTAGTTTTATGTTCAGATGAGAGATGATGAGCAGAAATATAAGAGCGAACTTCTGAATTTTGAAGCTTACTTTTAGACCTATTAATCATGGGATGAATATTCTAAATTGCGGCAGGTTGTGAGATGGGCAAAACTACCTCTAAATGCACACTTTGCATTGCGTCAACATACATATTAGTAGAAGAAGTTGCAATTGGACTTAATGGTCCTTCCAATTGTGTAGTAGCATTTTGAGAGGTAGAAATAGAGACTTGAGTATCATCAGTGGCCAACTGTGATCTAGAATTTAAAGAAGTGTCTTGCATTTTATGAGAATAACTAGAATCAGAAGTAAGAGCATGAG